GTAATTCCAGACCGAATCATAAACGCACACTAAACAAATTCAACCGACACACACATGATACCATTTGTACGTTCACGCTGTGACTGAAGGCACTGTTCACTGTGCACTGTTCGACGACTTCACAACAAACCGTAAATGAAAATGAGCACATTTTCATTTCACTCGCTCTCTCGTTGGCATTGCACACAAATTACACAGACATTACACAACGAGTGCCGCACACTCGCAGCATTCAAACAGCATTTGTTTGGTTAAAATATTATGAATTTGCTGCTTTCGTTGTTGCTCATTTTCATTTTCCTTTTCCTGTCGTTGCTTTTGTTGAGTTGGTGCTGGTGTTGGTGTTAGTGTTAGTGTTGGTATTGGTATTGGCATTGATATTTGCGTTTGTGTTTCTGTGTAAAAGTGCTGCCAGTACCGATTTTGTGCGCTGATAAGTTTGTTGTGTTTTGTACTAATTTCCTGTTTCCGGCAGGTAATAAGGATAGTTTCAACTTTTGCTTTATCATTTTCACTGCTCTGTGTTCAGCGGAGATTTTTCTTTTTTGCGAAAAAGTTTTCCGTTATTTAGCGCAAATATTTCAGTTGAATAAATTCAGATCTTAAAAGCAGTGCTAATATAAATAGAGTGTAGTTGATAATGATTTTAATATTTAATATTAAAATTATATAAATAAATTGTTAATAATCATATAAGTAAATAAGCGATTGATTTGCATAAATAATTTTTTATTATTTGAAATGAAAAAAGGTTGAAATAAAAATTTATTCAATAAAAATGTCTATTGTCCTTTAAATATAAAGCTTTTGAGAGCAATATTAAGAGTGATGTGTAATATAAGATCTAATTGCTATCCAGCCTCTGTGTTGGACCTGTTAGTTCCTGCAAAGTCACAAGAAACTTATTAACTAACCGTAATGAATTGTTACTTTGGAGACAACCAAGAGTCAGAAAACATTTACAAAACATTTTCAGGTGCTGAGTCATGAACAGATTTTTGAAAGAAAGATAGTTCGCCAAGTATATAAACCTATTCTAATTGACGACGAGACATTCAGAAGAAACGAAAAAACGAAATTTTTGACCTGCTTAAAAATGAAAATATAGTAAGATTTATCAAAGCACAAAGACTAAAATAAGCAGCTCACTTTATAAGAATGGGATCTGAAAAAAATCTGGCCAATATATATAATACTTATCCGATTTCAACAATGCAACATCAAGTGGCATTATTTTATAAATTAATTTGTGGTTTGTGCGCTATATGTAGATAAAAAAATTATTTAATTCTATATAATAAATATTAATAAATAGCTTTTTTAAAAACCTATTAGAATATGGAATTTATAATAAACCGAAACAAGTTGGAAGTACCTTAAATAATATCAGTTGTTTTGCAACACCAAACTATAGATAAAGAAGGAGCTAGACTGAGCCGAACTTGTTTCCACTCTAAAAGATAGTGTTTACCGTTACTCGAAAAGGTAACACCAAAGCAACTTTTCAACACTGTCCAGACTTATCCAGAACTAGATGTAGTTTATGGACGTCCAAGTTTTTAATTGGATATATAATTAATATTTGCACCACCGTAACTAACAACGATGTCAATCTGAGAATTACAGGAATAATTACCATTGTCATTGGTTGTAAATGTGGACTCAATAGGTAATTGGAATGTAGAGCACATATACGACGAAAAAAACTCACGCTATTTAATTCGTTCATCCTATCTGCGTTTGTGTTTGGTGAAGAATCATGATTTTTATCGCAAAATGATGAAGCAGTACTGAATGTGCTCGAGAGAAAAGTTTTTCGTAAGATCTTTGGTCACTAACTCCTATATGAGTTGGTGATGACTACCGCGTACTGCTGCCGCAAATGAATTAAGAGCTGAGCGAACTGAGCAAACTGACATTGTGCAGTGAATCAACATCCATTGGGTTAACTAATTAAGTGATGTTGTGGGAATGGATGACGACGTTTTAAAGAAAACGCATTTGAAGTGGCAGTTGGAGGAAAAAGATTTAGCCGAAGATGTTGTCAATGGGGATGTGATCAAGTTATGGAAGCACTAACTACGCACATTGAATGAGACTGGAGAAGGCGCACAAGCAACAGAAGTGTGTGGAAAAGGGTGCTAGATCAGAACGAAACCCAACGACGGATTGCTAAGACCAAATAAATAAACAAGTAAATAATGTGCAATGTGGATCAATCAAATCCAATTCTGACCAAACAAACGATAGACTCACTTCGGATATGGACAACAAATAAGTTTAGGTGTTAACTCTAACTAAAGTTTTATAAATTTTGAAGTGTTCCAAGGTTACAAGTATAACTATTTAAACTCACTGCTCCTATCATTAATATTTATACGTTTTTAACTCATCCTCATCAAGTCAATTTAAATTCTCTACTTATGTCTTATATATTCACACAATGAGCATCTTTATTGATGTTGGTTGTTGTTGTGGGCTGTGGGTTGTGGGTTGCTGTGCCAGCGTTTGATGCACACATTTTCATTGTATTTTAATTACTGCTGTTGTATGCTGGATTGCCGACAAGTGTTGCCAACTCAGTTTGTCGATAGAGTTGCAGTGCTCTACTACCAGTGTCCATATTACTTTCCGGTTTCCGGACAACAGCTTTTCTGCTTTCAATCAGTGCAGTTTACATTTTCCGATGGTTTGCTGATAAGGCTCCATTGTCAATTGGAAATTATGACTGTAATGAAATTTAAATTATTTGTAATTACACAATAACAATAACAAAAACGACAAAAACAATGTATCTGAATACGCAAATAACGAAATAATTCAGCAATAATAAAATGAAGCGAACACAAAAATAAATTAATTGTGTGGTGTGTGGTCCTATATTAATCGCAGGCGTACATGAGTTTTTCAATGGATTAAGTCATGCAACTGAAGAAACTTAAATGATAAGAAACTACCAAACTTTCAAAAAAAGTTCACAAAACTATACTTATGATAGAAAATATTGTTCGAATGCCAGCAATTATTTGAAATTTTATTTATTTCGACTTTATATTCATTGTCCTTTGTGAATGCGAAACCACACGAAATAATCTATTGCAAAAGGATGACAACAATTTCCCAAATTTTCCTAATTTTCATATACATTTATCTCTGCACAGCGAAACACACTTGCACAATTTACCCGCCTCTTGCACGTTTTTTGCTCATTTCCAGAAACTTCCGTTCCGGGTAGCTCACTTGTGTTTCATCTGATTGTGTAAGGCGTTGCCAATTTAAAAAAAAGTGTGTACAAATTTCAATGCCAATTTATGAAAATTTATATTCCTGTTAATAATTAACTTCCTTCGAGTAAGCTAATCAGACAAGCAATAGCAACAATTTCCCCAATATTGCCGCGAATTTTAAAGGAAGTTGTCGTCAGGAAGTTGATAATGGCAATTGTGTCTCCAACAGTTGAAGATTTAAGGGTAAAAATTTTGAACAAAATTTTACCTGCAAATAGGGGATGCACACAATACAAGCAAAATGGTTGAAAATAATTCGATTTGAACATGGAAACTGTATATAAAGCTATAGTTCAAGTAACTAAGATAAAGTGAGTCTTCGTTTGGTAGTAAAAATTCAGTGCAGAAATGTTAAAATGTCTTCAGACGTGGACTTGAGTCAATATGAACAATCAAACCTCAAACAATTTTTGTTTCAATGTTGACAGTAACTTCGCCGCGTCCGTTTCCAAGCCCGGATGAAAAACCGGGACCGAAATGTGTTAGCAACGAACTACAGAACTCTGAGAAAGTTCTCTCTGAAACCTTATTTTTGAGGTCTGCTAGCAAAATTTCATAATATCACTTAATGATAGTTTATGATGAACGTTCGTGTCTGGGGCATTTAACCAGACGAATGATTGAGCTTAAGGTTTATACAATTATTTCGAAACGAACTCAAGTTGAAATGTCGAACAAAAGCTTCAAATAAAAATATGTTAGCTCTTCTAAAAGGATCGATGATAAACGATAAGAAAATATTGTTTGTGATTTGGAATATTTCGACCATTGCACAATTGGTACAATGTAGATACTGTATATAGATAATGTGAGCAAAGATTTGCGAAGAATACAATTGAAGAGAAAAGCAAATGTAAGAGCATAAATTGAGAGGCTATCTTGGGACAGGTTTAAGTCATCTATTTTGTTTGTAACAACTGAGTAAATACATTTTAAAAACCGAATTTAGACCTCATTTTCGATGAATATTCAACCGATGACCACTAAATAAAATAGCAGCTCTTTAGACAATATCTCTTTCCTTTTTCCGAAATTCATTAACCACTTCCTAAAAATATTTTTTTGATTTTATTGAGTAGAAATATTTCGTTTGTAGTGGATTTGCTGACTGATTGTCAGCAAGGAAACTATGCAAAGATATTGAATATTTCAGTCAATGACTCCTACAATAAGAAAAGGAAGACGTTTTAAGAAGTCTTCTAGAAAATATTGATCAAAACCCCCCTTAAAAACCATCAATTCTAAGATAATAAACTTTTCAATCCACCTTCAAAATGTTTGTAAAACGTAACTAACATAGTGGATCAATGGTCCTAAATGTATATCGAAGAGAAAAATTGACATGTCTTCAACTAAAAGAAGAGGAACAAAAGTCTAACCAAACACGAACACACAAACATACCAATCCGAAAACGTAACAGTTACAGAACCCAGAGTTGTGTTGAAATCTTACAGAGATCATTTAAGGATCTCAATATCCACAGTTATAGAAGTCATTGGAAATGAAAAAATATTTATGAATTTGTTAATATTTAGCTTAACAAATATTAGTAGGGTAAAAGTGAAGTAAGAAATGCCGATAAATTGTTGTACACCAAGCGTTCGTCAGTACTAAAAAGCTACTCTGATAATAATTCCGCTGATAAGATAAAATTTAGTAAGAACTTTTTCTACCGCTGATAGTCAAAAAAACATTTGTTGTGTGTTGTACAGCAAAAAAAGATTCAGTTAGTCATAAGATAACCACTGCAGTTGCAACTAGAAACGCAAAAATGGACGATACAGACTTTTTCGGAAAAAAGAAATCCAAGCAAGACAAAGCAGATGCAACCAGTAGCGGCACCAATGTTCTGCCCAACAGCTTTGCAACAGCGGAACCCTCATTAAAAGCAGTCCCAGAGAAAAAAGTTGTTATATCACGTCCCACCGAACAAGACACATACTACAACAACAATCCCAATATTGGCATTGCGATTGTTCTGAATCACAAGGAAGTCAAAGGACAGAAGCCACGCGTGGGTACAGAACAGGATCGTGATGCGATGAAGAGCACATTGGAGAGCTATGGTTTTGATGTGCGTGTCCACAACGAATTGACGTTTGCTGAAATAAATGATGTGCTAAAAGCAAGTAAGTGAATAATTACAAAAGCGAGTGAAGGATAGTTGCACTATTTTTAGTCGAAGTACAAAGCCATAAAAATCAATTCATTCGCTCGGCCCTCGTTGACAAGTTGTAATTAGTTTAGGTTTTCTGTGTTTGGCATTGTTTTTTCTTGTTTTTTTTTTTTGAGTTTACTATTTTATCAGCTCTTATCAAATGTTCGAATACTGAAAATAGAAAAAAATCGTCACCAACGTCGAAGCTAAGCAAATTTGTTTACCTAAGCCGTTAATTGGAAATTATGAAATTCATTCGAAAAATATTTAAAATGTTGTGAAAATTTCTATGCAAATTTGCGAGTTTTAATTCGAAAATGAAAATTGAATATGTGGTCTTATCAAGATTTCTACATTCAAATTTTTTAAATGGATTATTTCGTTTTCCAATGAATTTTAGATTCATTAGTGGATTAAATTGTAAAATAAATAGTTAATGGAACCTACTATGATCGATTTTAATTCCAAGGAAATTAGATTTTTAATTTAAAAATGATATGGCAACGTAACGGGGGAAAGTGATCGTCAAAGAAACGCAAACCTGCGGTATCTTTAATAGAAAGGTTTCTGTATGAAGTATTGGGTTATAGAAAAAGTATTCCCTGTTTTTTGCCATTTTCAACAAAAATTTTCATTATTAAAGATTAATTTGAATAAAGTATATTTTGTTGAATAATATTTATGATCTGTGTTTTAAGTTCTGTGTTTTATCGGTGAAAAAAATTGACCAATTGACCTTTACCGGCTATTCGTTCAACCACATTTTTACCATTAAAAGAATTTTGCAGAAACCGAAACTAGCAGTAGTCAGGTGATGCAAGGTTCGTATCAAAACTTCCTAACCAAGTTCGGTGGATTTATTCTGAGCCATCAAAGAAGTGTGTGATCTGACATTATTATGATGGAGAACACTTTTTCTGCTGGCCAAATCCCTACACTTTTCTCTGATTGCTTCGTTCTAGTTGTCGGATTATGAACAGCAGAGGAACGAACTAACAATTGCCTCAGGCTGGAGTAGCTCGTAATAGACAATTCCATTTCGATCCCACTAAATACTTAACATAACCTTGTTTGCCATCAATGCAGGCTTTAAAGTCGTTTGTGAAGGGCCATATGCATTTGATAATACTTTAAATATTTTTCAAAATTGTGATTTTTATTATATATTTTTATATAGGTATGTATGTGTATTTAAAATAAAGATACACATAATTCATTTTCATTTTAATATATATAATAAACCAATTTATTCTATCGATCCATAGCTGCCAATGAAGACCATAGCAACAGCGACTGCTTCTTACTTGTGGTTATGTCACATGGTTCTGAAGGCAAAGTATTCGCACGCGATATGTCCTATCCAGTAGAACGTTTGTGGAATCCATTTTTAGGCGACAATTGCAAGTCCTTGATAAATAAGCCGAAATTATTCTTCATACAGGTGAGTTTCATAAAATATTTATTAAATATTTTTTGTATAGCAATAGTTCAGTTTATAGAACTTTAGCAATGGAAAATCTCCTACAAGTTATGTGAGAGCCGCAATGTGCTCCGCTTTGTGGTTTTATTCTGCGCGTTTCATGAAGCACCAAAAGTCTTTCATTGAAAACAATTTTTTGTTGATTGGTTTCAGTTAAGCTCCCAGAGACTAATACTCTGTTCACACATATTGAGTCATTGTATAATCTAAACTTGCTCGTAATACGTTTTAAAAGATTTTCTTCGTAGCTAGACTAGAGCGGGGTCATCTGAATGATTAGTATTCCGGGTTGAGCAATTTTCGCGTTGTTTATCTATCTTATTTAGAATTTAACACAATCATACGAAAAAATTCTCCCTTCCATTGGTTGTCAGAAAAGGGTTTCCAACAAAATGTTAATGATCGTGTATCCGTGTTATCCTAAGTTATCATCTCGGTGATGTTCTATTAGGATGATAACCTAACGGTTATTCTGTCTGAGAAACACTTTAAAAGACAATTTAAGGCCGGCAGCTTTTTATACCGGTTTTTATTTACTGGCTGTATTGTTTGTATTTGTAGAGCCCAATTAGAGTTTCATTACTGAAGTGAGAGTGTATTGAGGAAAAACTGCAATCAAGCCTTCTATTTTAATATATGAAACTCAACTAGGCTTCTAAAAGCAATAGAATTTCAGCCAGTAAAAAACACATCCAATATAAGCAGTATTGTTTTGCTGATAGTGATCATATTATTTACTTTCAAATAGCTATTGTGAGAGTCATTTTTCTAAGTTACGGTGTACAAGTGAATAAATCCAATATTTTGATTTTAAATAAAGATTTTTAGAAAGAATATTTGCATTGTAATTGCGTCCTAATTACGTAGTCATCATTCTTCACTTTTGATGATCCAAATCATGATAAAATCATAATAATGATAACGCACGTTTATATCTTTATGACTCGATTGATTCACGCTTTAGAGATAATGATACCATCACCCAGATGAATAACTATGTACGAAGCTTAAAAGTTTTTGATTTCTTAGTTCCTCTTTATAAATCTAACAGTTTGCTATCAGCACTTCAACCCAATCTAAATAAGACTAATGAACATATGTTTCTCTAAACGTCGTTATTATTTAAGTCTACAGGTTATGAAAATCTTTGTCTTGCTTTCCGTCTATCTACAGTGTATGTTTTTTATCCCGGCTGAGTGAACGTCAGCTAAATTTTCTCAACCTGTAGTTTTGGGTACTATGCTTGTGCCTAATTGTCGTGAATAAACTATATTAAACTGAATTTAAGCTTATGTATAACGAACAGCTTCTCCCAAAAACTTCCATTAACTTTTAATTCAAGGAGAGTTATCGGAGTTCTCCTCGATCAGTCATGGTCTAAAGATTTATGTATCTGTTCCAATATCTCTTGGTTACTCGCGTTACCCGAAGTTTATCACTTATTATTAGTTTATCACTTATCACTTATCGTACCTCCTTTGCTACACTCAGTCCTAATTTTATAATTATAATCTTATTTTTTATATTTTCAGGCATGCCGTGGTGAGAATTTGGAAAAGCCTGTATTGTACTCAGATTTTGCACCCATGTCACGCGAATTAAATCTTATAGCAATGCCTGCTGAGGAGCAGCCCACAATCATAACCTATGCCATTCCAAACACAGCTGATATGTGTGTCATGTATTCGACATTTGAGAGTGAGTTCACTAGAACTAAATGCATTCATCCATTTAATGCTCTTCCATTTCAGAATATTTCTCCTTCCGTAATGTCGAAAACGGTTCCTGGTTCATACAAAGTCTGTGCGCTGTCCTAAACGAAGCCAGAACGAATGAAGCAGCCACAGCACAAGGTGCCGAACTCTTACGTCTGCTCACAGCCGTAAACCGGAAGGTGGCCTACGAGTACCAGTCCTTCGCCAAGAACGAAGCTCTCAACCAAATGAAGGAAATGCCCAATTTTCTGTCCACTTTAACGAAATTATTTTACCTGAAGGTGAAACGTAAAACCTAACTCGGCGAGAAGTGACTCATGTGAATTGCCCACAACACACAAAGAAAAAAACAAAAATTAACAATTCTTTCGACTTAACTGAAATTGTTTTGTATTTATTAGAGAAATAATAATAATGTATCTTTTATATTTTTAATTGCAAGCAATCGTTTGTGTTTCGTTGTTTATTGGCCGTCTTATCAGCGCGTTTCATGAATTCCCTTTGCATTGATAAGCTCCGCTGTGTTCGATTTTGATTTTGATAAGAAACGCCAAACCAAAATTAGATATTTTTACTTGCTTTGTGGTAAATGAGTTAATGAATTCATGTGTTAATTTGCGTTTAACTAATTTTTTCATAATCAAACAAAAAATAACTACAAGTACACACGAAACGCACCACACACTTCTTCAGGTTTTCAGGTCTTCAGGTGTTCAGGTGTTCAGGTCTGCATGCCGTCATGCACTTTATGATTGCTTTGGTTTTATGGCTTTTAATGGCAGCACTTAATTGTGCGTTGGAATAATTCGAAATTGACCCTTCCTCTGCTCCATTTCATCATGACTCCATTTCTCCACTTACAAACACTAGTCGCTCTGCGGGTTGAGCTGCGCTCCAAAAAAACACATGCACGAGGGCGTAGATGAATGATGACTCAATCTGTTCATTTGGCCGCACTTAAATTCGTTTAATAATTAATCATGCACTCGGCTTATTACGACATGCAGTCCACGGCATGACACAGTCTGCAACAATTTCATTTCCCATTGTCCTGGCACTGTCACTGGCACTGGCACAGAACTCTGATGTCCTGACAGCACTAGAGCGTAGGTCAGCAGTGTCACCGGCCAAAAGTCAAATATGCGTCATTTTTTGTGTTTTATGAAATTTAATATCTTTTTTACTAGTTTGAATCCTTGATTTTTATTAATCAATTACTTCAGCAGACGTCAAATACTGCCAAATGCTCAACATATTCGTACCACTACATGTTTAATAAGTGGAATTTATATTCGGGTTCGCAAAAGAGTACAGATTCACAACAGGACAAAAATTGAATATAAGGAATGCAGTTATTACGAAAATTAATTATTACTAAAAGAAGAATATTAATTTAATTTATAATTTAAAAGAGTTCCGAGAGATGGAAAAAGCTTGAAAACACATTTTTACCATTTGTAGTTTCTCCAGTTGCAATTGAAAGAAGAGTTATCGAGTTACTCAATATATTCTAATAGTAGATACATATTTAAATTGTTGTATAAATATGTGTGACAAACTCAAGAAAACATATTGCATATACGTCGACTACGTTCAGTTCGATGGCGATAACACATATTGACAGCTCTCTTACTAATCTCTCGTACTAATTAAAGTGATTATTTACACCTCTTGTACTCTTGCTTAGCACTAATAAAAGTTATTAGGTATAGACTACTTAATTATTATTACTTATAATGTAACATTTCTTTGTGAACCTTTTTTCTACCGTTGTTCTGGAACAAACAGGATTAGTAGTTATTCGGCGATAATTGTTTTGAACCATGATTGGTTAGTTTGCCTCACATAACTAACATTTATGTACCATTTTAATACCACATTACACTCAAGAAAAGATAAACTAGACCCATCCAGTTGAGTTTATATAGAGTTTAACAGATCTTTCGTTCTTACTTTTGAGTAGTTTGACAGACTATCGCAAAAGCACGATTTGATCTTTTTACGAAACCTGGGCAGCCAGTCAAAAATTGTGTGATAGTCTCTTCTTCGTCCAAATTTCTGCAAATTTTACAATGAATGTTTTCGTTGTGTGCAATGAAGGCGTATTTTCTCTGTTTGGGCTCACGCACAGTAGTGATCTTAAAGAATTAAAATTAGCTTAACAGTATGGACTCAGTTTCTGTTAGTCTCTGTTAGACTTGGTGTAATTGTATAAAGGTCAGATCGTTTGAGATATGTGACATATTGTGAATGACACAATAAGGCCAATAAGAGATGCACCTCTCTTAGTGTGATCTCTGGAATCTCATAGAAACACCAAGACCTTATGAGGAAATAAATATAATTATATATCTATAATCGACTGAAAATAATTAACTGTGATTCTCCTTTTGGATACAACTTTGTATAACTTTTAATATACATGGATTTTATGATGCGTTTTATATCTATAGCTATTTATATATCAAATTAATTGCAATAGAGTAAACTTATTTTACATTATTATGAATTTTACTTTTCTAACTTAGATAAAACACAGAATTATTAAAAAACTTAACTAAAAAGAAATAAATAATGAATTACTTGTCCTTAGCTTTGAATCAACCTCACTGACTCAATATCGATAAAAATGTTTTTACAGTTTTAAAGACACTAAATGAAATGCCTGCGCTAGCGTCATTATTATAGTATCTTCTCAACTGTAATTGGGTTTGTCTTCTTTAGGTGGTTGTCTTTGATATTGGAATATAATAGCACAGTGCCACTGCATTAATGCGGAAAACATTATAAGTACATTTGAAATAATCATGGGTTGCCAAGACAAATTTTTAATGTTAAGTAATTTGAATGACATGGATTTAACAGATATATGTTAACAAGAACTTACTTTAGTATATATATATAAAAGTTTTTTTTTAATTTTCTTTACTAATTTACTATAAGATTAATGCCAATTGCTGTCGACTCCTCTTGTTTGATAACATATTTAGTTTGTAGTTTGGGGAACGAACAATTGTTTTGTTAAAATCAAAAAGACAAAATGCTTGGAAGTAATCTTCGTACTAAAAAATCACCGAGTAGATATATGAAGCTGCTTCTCACATGGGTACTTACATTACCGACATCATAAATAATCAGACTTTGCTCTCCAACTAGATTCTTTGAAATGACATAATTTCTCAGGACTTTATATAGACAAACATATTTTGTTATATACATCAATAAGAACAAAAAAAGCCACCGTACAGAGATATCTTTTCCTTTCAAATTTGGTATTATATAGGACATGAAAACAAATACAACCTATTTACAATGATGTAAAGTAAGCCGAGAGTTCATTTTTGTAACTTAGTCATGGCTTAGAGTAAAATATAATAAAGTATAAAGGGGCTTTCAGTGGGGCAGCGCAATGTAATGATAACAGATCCTTTATGCTAATCAAATAATCATACCATAGATCAGAAACTGTTTCTTGCTGAGAAGTTCTAAATATCTAATAGGACTATAACCTTCAATGGATTAATGGCTATTCTCTTCTTGGCTCGTTTAAAACCAGAAAGACCTAAAGTATATAGCTCCACGATGATATTCTCTCATCAAAAACAGATTCATGCGTCTTGTTGAAATGGAAGCGGCAAGTACGATGACTCTACCTAGATATCAAGCTAAAAATTTGAGTTTTACCAAAGTAAAGAATTGTTTTATAATTATAGACATAAATCAGTTCTTTATAATGACAGATAAATCTTTATATTATACTTCTCTGTATCTTCCGCAATTTCGTTTTAAGAAGATACACTGTTATTTGGCATAAATTTTTTTGGATCAGTGACTTTTACTACTTCAGTCCTAGTCCTGCACAGGATGTTTCTCGTTTTCTGTAGACTGTAGTTTGAACGAGTTCCCACATTATATATTATATGTGTATACTTAACGTTATGAAGTTACGTTTTGTTTACATAATGAAGCAATCTTATTACTATTTTAATTGCATTTTGTGTAAAAAGTTTTCATCCTTTTTTGATAATGAAGACCTTTTTATAGTACTTTATATTCATGGTATGGCAAAACACGTCCTTGTTATTCTTCATTTGAATTATCATCTATGGATGAAATTAAAGACTTTTCAAGATATTTGATGAAAGTTGTTTCCATTTTAAGTCAATAACCCTGACAATGGCTGGCATTCCACTTCGTCATCACACCAAAAATTTCTTGAATATTCTGCCTTATGCATTTCAATAAATTGCAAATGGCATTCAAAAAAGGAAACAAGCAAACTTCAGCCACTGATGTAAACAACGTTTATGGGTCAAGAAGCTAAAATGTGACCTCTTCGAGTTGACTTGAAGATGAAAGCAGTAGTCAACTGCAATAAACTGTACATCGTCGGTGTAAATAATTTACGGGTCACATACGAGCTATCCGATGCAGTCAAGTACAATTAATGCCAGCTGCATAGATTGTTGCTGCAAGTGAGCAATCACGGCAGCAACCACGGCACTGCCAGCAACAACTGCAGTAACTTGAACTTGTTGCGGGCTCAATAAGCGAGCCCATTTATGTACGGCACGAGTTGGCTGTTTGGAGTGTTTCATTCAGGAAGGCAAATGCCATTGAAGGCTCCGTATTGCCCATGGCACAATGCACTTTCAACATCACCAACAAACGCGAACCATCCAACCACCACATCACCAAACCAACAAGCCCCTGAAATCGTTTAAGCGTCTTAAATGTAATTTAGTACGAGCCACATTTGCATTGCGGCAGAAAAAATATTGGCTCAAAAGTAATTTAATAATTAAGTTTCCAATTTAAAGACTCCTGCTTTGACCGCATTTTCCTGATCTATACATGTTTGGCCACTTTTATTCGAAAACAGAAGAAGAAAATGAGCTGGGAAAGTTGTTTAGCGGTACACATAATTCACATTTGTGTTATGTAAAATGTATCTGTGGCTCGCCTGCCTGGCTCGTATGCAATCGACGAAATTCGAAGTATCTGCGTATTTTTAGTATTGACAGATTTCGTGCAACGCGTTGGTTGCACTTCACCAGTTGCAACGCAAACGAAAACTTCTGCTCAGGCACTCATTAGAATAAAACCTGAACTGGTGTCTGCCGCTGCACCGTTAGTGGCTTCAAAGTATCTACGAATTACATTTTGTCTTCATAAAATAATCTTTTTATGCCCGTGTTTTACAACTTCTTCTTCTTTCTTAGCCGAATGCGTCTTTTCCAAGCCAAGCTTTTCCATTTTAAACTGCTTTCCTGCACAACTCGAATGGCAACATTTTCTTAGAATGTGCTTAGAATGTTGCAGAATCTCATTGTTTTTATTGTTGTTGTTGTTGTTGTTGTTGCTGTAGTCGTTGGTATTGTTGTTAAAATTATAATCGTTCTGG